CTGACTGGCACAACCTGGGGATCACAACCAGACACAGTGAAGACATCTGCCCTTGCGCTATGCTACTCTACTTCTGAGTACATATGCCCAGTGTGGAACACATCTCACCATGCTTAAACAGTGGATGTGGCTCTTAATGAAACATGCTGCATTATCACGGAGTGCCTGCGCCCTACACCACTGGAGAAATTACACTGCTTAGCTGGTATTGCACCACCTGACATCCGCCAGGAAGTGGCAGCCAATAGTGAAAGGATCAAGGCAGTGACATCTCCAGCTCATCCCTTGTTTGGGCATCGGCCAGCATGCCAACGACTTAAATCAAGAAATAGTTTTCTAAGATCTACAGAGACACTCGCTGGAACACCCCAGCAAGCGAGAGTCCAAAAATGGCAGGCTCAAACCCAGAACCTCAATCAATGGCTGATACCAAATGAGAGACTCCCCCCTGGGTACACAGAGGACGGGGCGACTTGGAAGGTGCTCAACAGACTGCGCTCTGACACCACGAGATGCAGAGCCAACCTTAAGAAATGGGGCTACAAAGTGGAATCCACGACATGCGAGTGTGGAGAAGAGCAAACCACTGACCACCTGCTGCAATGCACCCTGAGCCCTGCCACATGCACAATGGAGGACCTTCTAATAGTAACACCAGAGGCACTCCAGGTGGCCAGATACTGGTCAAAGGACATTTAATCAACTACCAAGCTTGCATATTTTGTGTTTTGACTGTTTGTTTGTTTCGTTCTGTTAGAAATGTAATACAATTGTTTGGTTGCCCATGACATGATAAATAAATAAACCTGGCAACAGCCAACCCAGCAACGTATCATGGGTCGCCAATCCGGCGACACTCTATGAGCCACTTCACCTGGCAACAGTCAACTCAGCGGCATCCTTCATGGGGCACTTCACCTGGCAACAGCCAACCCAGTTATGTCCCATGGGCCACTTCACTTGGCAACATCTGGGGACATCCCATAGGCCACTTCACCTGGCAAAAGCCAACTGGGTGACGTTTCAGGGGCCACTTCATCTGGCAACAGCATTGATTAGCTATGATTAGCATTGAGTAGCCATGAAGCTGCAAAGTCAATCAGTGAGGGTATCTGCATAGAGGTCGCCTGGCCTCTGTTGCCTGGAGGCACCCTCTGTTTGAGAGGTGTTAACTGGCACTTGATTGTTTGCTGTCTGGATTTCCCCTGTTTCCGAGTGATGTTCCTTATTTACTGTCTTGATTCCGACCTTTTTTCATACCGGTAACTAGACTTTGTTCACTTCCATGGTTTCCTCCTTTCTGTTGCAAAACCAGCTGATTCCTTGGAATTGTGGGAATTGGAGTCCAAAACACCTGAAGGGTCCCAGTTGGCCCAGGCCTGGTAGATCTATCTTGAGACTGCTTGGATTTGTGAGAGTTGGACTCCAAAACACTTGGAGTGCCCAATTTGGCCCAGGCCTGATAGATATATCCTTACACTGCTTGGAATTGTGGGAGTTGGAGTCCAAAACACCTGGAGGGCCCCAGTCCGCCCAAGCCTGATAGATCTATCCGTAGACTGCTTGGAATTGTGGGAGTTGGAGTCCAAAACACTTGGAGGGCCCAAGTCGACACAGGCCTGATAGATATATCCTCAGACTGCTTGGAATTGTGGGAGTTGGAGTCCAAAACACCTGGAGGGCCCCAGTTGGCCCAGGCCTGATAGATCTATCTTTAGACTGCCTGGAGGGAGGGCCCAAGTTGGCCCATGCCTGGTAGATCTATTTTTGGAGTGCTTGGAATTGTGGGAGTTGGAGTCCAAAGCACTTGGAGGGCCCAAATTGGTTCAGGCTGATAGAAATATCCTTAGACTGCTTGGAATTGTGGGAGTTGGAGTCCAAAACACCTGGAGGGCCCCAGTTGGCCCAGGCCTGGTAGATCTATCTTTAGACTGCTTGGAATTGTGGGAGTTGGAGTCCACAACACTTGGAGGGAGGGCCCTATTTGTCCCAGGCCTGCTCTAATGAATGAAGACTATTGGGAAGGTGACCTTTTGGTCCTCTTCCATCGCTATGCTGGCGGGGGCACACTAGAGGGCGCTAGAGAGAAGGATTGTCCATTGTTTCAAGCTGTTGTCCTAATGTTGCAAGGGTGCCATCAATGTGTCATGCTAAAAGGGAGCCCCCACTGAGCTAGGATTGGAGGAGGGAGGCCGCCAGGTCCCGCCCCCTAATCTGCATCGCCCCGCCCCTTCCTCATCCCCCAATCCCCCCTCCCTCGCAGCTTCCCAAAGATGTCTCCTTCGTCTGGGCTTCTTCCTGGGGGATCTTCCTCCTTCCTCTTCCTCTTCCTCTTCCTCCTGGGCTCTTCCCAAGGGGAGGGGCCGCTCCCCACCGTGGTGCTGGCCCTCCTGGCCCGCAACGCCCAACACTCCCTGCCCCACTTCTTGGGGGCCCTGGAACGGCTGGATTACCCCAAGGAACGCATCTCCATCTGGTGAGTCCCCTAGAGGCTGTGGGGGATGGTGGGAGTTGCAGTCCAAAACCCCTGGAGGGCAGAGGCAGGCTGGCCATCTGCCGGGGATGCTTTGATGGTGCTTTCCCTGCATAAAGGCAAAAGGAGAAAAGAAGTTGGACTTGATGAGTCTAGTGGTCTCTTCCAACTGTTGTTGTTGAGGCTGATTGGCCATCTGTCGGGTCTGGTTTGATGGTGCTTTCCCTGCATGAAGGCAAAAGGAGATTGGACTTGAGGAGCCTAGGGGTTTCTTCCAACTCTGTTGTTGTTGTTGTTGTTGAGGCTGGGTGGCCATCTGTCGGGTTTGGTTTGATGGTGCTTTCCCTGCATGAAGGCAAAAGGAAGTTGAACTTGATGAGCCTAGGGGTCTCTTCCAACTCTATTGTTGTTGTTGCTGCTGTTGTTGTTGTGGCTGGGTGGTCATCTGTCGGGTCTGGTTTGATGGTGCTTTCCCTGCATGAAGGCAAAAGGTTGTTGGACTTGAGGAGCCTAATGATCTCTTCCAACTCTATTGTTGTTGCTGTTGTTGCTGCTGCTGCTGTTGTTGTAGAGGCTGGGTGGCCATCTGTCGGGTCTGATTTGACCCTGCGGTCCCTGCATGAAGGTGGCCATCTGCCGGGTCTGGTTTGATGGTGCTTTCCCTGCATGAAGGCAAAAGGAAGTTGAACTTGATGAGCCTAGGGGTCTCTTCCAACCCTATTGTTGTTGTTGTTGTTGTTGTTGTTGTGGCTGGGTGGCCATCTGTCAGGTCTAGTTTGATGGTGCTTTCCCTGCATGAAGGTAAAAGGTGGTTGGACTTGATAAGCCTAGGGGTGTCTTCCAACTCTATTGTTGTTGTTGCTTCTGTTGTTGTTGTGGCTGGGTGGCCATGTCAGATCTGGTTTGATGGTGCTGTTGTTGCTGCTGCTGCTGCTGTTGTTGTGGCAGGCTGGCAATCTGTTGGGGCTGCTTAGATGGTGCTTTCCCTGCATAAAGGCAAAAGTCCAATCTCCTTTTACCTTCATGCAGAGAAAGCACCATCAAACCAGACCTAACAGATGGCCACCCAGCCACAACAACAACAGCAGCAGCAGCAACAACAATAAAGTTGGAAGAGACCTCTAGGCTCATCAAGTTCAGCCTAATGATCTCTTCCAACTCTATTGTTGTTGTTGCTGCTGCTGCTGCTGCTGTTGTTGTTGTAGAGGCTGGGTGGCCATCTGTTGGGTCTGATTTGACCCTGCGGTCCCTGCATGAAGGGTGGCCATCTGCCGGGTCTGGTTTGATGGTGCTTTCCCTGCATGAAGGCAAAAGGAAGTTGAACTTGATGAGCCTAGGGGTCTCTTCCAACTCTATTGTTGTTGTTGCTGTTGTTGTTGTTGTGGCTGGGTGGCCATCTGTCAGGTCTGGTTTGATGGTGCTTTCCCTGCATGAAGGTAAAAGGTGGTTGGACTTGATGAGCCTAGGGGTCTCTTCCAACCCTGTTGTTGTTGTGGCTGGGTGGCCATCTGTCAGGTCTGGCTTGATGGTGCTTTCCCTGCATGAAGGCAAAAGGAGATTGAACTTGATGAGCCTAGGGGGTCTCTTCCAACTATATTATTATTTATTTATTATTATTATTACCATCATCATTAATATTATAGACTGAGTGGCCATCCATCACAGATGCTTTGATGGTGCTTTCCCTGCATGAAAGAAAAAAGAGGTTGGACTAGATGAGCCTAGGGGTCTCTTCTAACCATATTAGTATTGTTATTATTGAGGCTGGGTGGCCATCTGTTGGGGCTGTTTTGATGGTGTTTTTGGTGCATAAAGGCAATAGGGGGTTCAACTCGATGAGCCTAGGGGTCTCTTCCTATTAATATTATCATTATCACCATCATTATTATTAGAGAGTGGGTGGCCATCTGTTGGGGGTGCTTTGCTTTCCCTGCATGAAAGCAGAAGGAGATTGGTCTAGATGAGCCTGTGGGTCTCTTCCAACTCTATTATGATTATCAACATCATCATTAATATTATAAACTGGTTGTGCATCTGTTGGGAGTGTTTTGATGGTGCAGTTTGTTCATGAAAGAAGGACGAGGTAGGACTAGATGATCCAAAGGGTCTCTTCCAACTCTATTATGATAATCATCATCATCATCATCATCATCATCATCATCATCATGAATATTATAGACTGGATGGCCATCTTTGTGGCTCTTTTTTTCTCTCCTTCCTCCATTTCCCCCATACACCTTCCACTTTGTCTTCTTTCTATTTCCTCCTTTCCCTTTTTTTCCTTTCCTCCCCTCCCCTCATACCTTTCCCTTCCATTCTTTTCTTCCCTTTCCCCTTCTTTCCTTTCTTTCCTTCCCTCCAGCACCCTTTCTTTCATTTCTCTCTCTTTCTTCCCTCCCTCCTCTCCCTTCCCTTCCCTTTTCTTCTCTCCATCTGCTATGTGACGTCATTTACCCTGAAGTTACGTCACTCCACTCCTGCTTTCTCACCTTCTTCATTACTTTTTATTTCCTATTGCTTCATCCCCCTTCCCATTTCCACTTGTAATGACATGAAGCAGGTTTGGTCTTCTCTACATCCAACTTTCCTTTGCCTTACTTCTCTTCCTCTACCTTCATTAATTCCATTTCCTCTCTAGAACCCTGATTCGATCCCTGCGTTGTCTTTCTTTTTCGTTCGGTTCCCGTCCACGACAATACTGCTGTCTTCCTATCCAGCACCCCTTTACGCCTTTACTTTAATTTCATTTACTCTAGCCATCCCCTTATATTGCGTGTGACGTTACTAAGTTCCTTCCCCCAAGTTCACATCAGGGTAGTTTAAGGTCTGGGATACGTCCTTATTGTGTTTTCATTTCCACAGCCCTATGCTGTCTAAATGACTTTCACATTTCAATTCCTTCTCTTCCTCCTTCCCTCCCTTTCCCTCCCTTTCCTTTCTTTTTTCTTTCCTTTCCTTCCACCCCTCTCTCTTCCTTCCCTCCCTCCCTCTCTTCGTCCTTCCTTTCCCCTCCCTCCCTCCCTCTCTTCCTTCTTTCCTTCCTTCCTTCTGCTTTTCATTCCTTCTTTTCCTTTCTTTTTCTTTCCTTCCCTCCTCTCCCTCTCTCTTCTCCTTCCTCCTTTCCTTTCCTTTGTCCCTCCCTTTCCCCTTCTTCCCTTTCCTTGCCACCTCCTTCCCAGCCTGGGGAGACAGGCCCAGGGATTTCCTTTCTCTTTTCTTTCCTTTTCCGTCCTTCCTCCCTCCCTCCTGCTTCCTCCTTCTTTCTTTTCTTTTCCTTCCCTCCCTCTTTCCCTCTTTCGTTCCTTCCCTCCTTTACTCTTCCCTTCCTTTCTTTCCCCCTTCCTTCCTCTTCCCTTCCTTCCCTCCTTTCCTCTTCCCTTCCTTTCTCTTTTCCCCTTCCTTCCTTTTCCTTCCCTCTTTCCTTCCTTCCTTCTCTCCTTTCTCCCTCCCTCTCTCCCTTCCTTTCTCTCCTACCTTTCTTCCTCCTGCTTTCCCTCTCTTCTTTTTCTTTCATTTCCTCCCCCCCTTCTTCCCTCCCTCCCTCTCTTCTCCTTCCCTTCCTTTCCATTCCTCCCTCCCTCCCTTTCCCCTTCTTCCCTTTCCTCCTTCCCAGCCTGGAGAATCAGGCCCAGGGATTCCCTTTCTCTTTCCTTTCCTTTTCCTTCCTTCCTCCCTCCCTCCTGCGTTCCCTCCCTTCTTTTCCTTTCTTTTCCTTTCCTTTCCTTCCCTCCACCTCTTTTTCCTTCCCTTCCTCCCCCTTCTTCTCCTTCTTTCTTTTCCCCTTCCTCTCCTTCTTTCCTTCCTTCCTCCTCTTCCTCCCTTCTTTTCCCTTCTTTTTCCTTTCTTTTCCTTCCCTCCCCCTCTCTTTCTTCCCTCCCCCTCTTCTCCCTTCCTTTCCTTCCTCCCTTCCTTCCTTCCTACCTTTCTTCCTCCTGCTTTTCCTCTCTTCTTTTTCTTTCATTTCCTCCCCCCCTTTCTTCCCTCCCTCTCTTCTCCTTCCCTTCCTTTCCTTTCCTCCCTCCCTCCCTTTCCCCTTCCTTCCTTTCCTCCTTCCCAGCCTGGAGAGACAGGCCCAGGGATTCCCTTTCTCTTTCCTTCCAAGGCAGATCCATCCCAGGCATGTTTTACAGCCTTTTCTATGAGCTTGTCGGAAACCTGACTCCAGCAGTATAATTTCCCTTCTTTTTGAAAGAGTCCAGGAGCTCTTTCCCATCTGTTGACTCTGCTAAAGCAATACAGTCGCCTAATGGAGTCTCGGCCCGGCTTGGCATCAGGGATTGGAGGCAGGATCCTGGACTGGGAGCCCAGCGTGTGTCCCTTGCCAGTCTTCCTTTCCTTTCAAAAGACAATCCCAGGTTATTCCTCCTTCCCAGCCATTCGTTGAGGGTCTTCTGTGCCTCGCCTGATCAGAATTACTGAACAGAGTCAGAGTAACACTTGGAAAACAAGGATGGATGGATAGAAGTCTATCTGTTTGTACCACAAATACTGTTGCTAGGTGAAGTGGCCCTCTTTGACATCACTGGGTTGGTTGCTAGGTGAGGTGGCCCTTTGCGACAACACTGGGTTGAGTGTTGCTGGGTGAAATGGCCCCTGTGATACCACTGGGGATTGGCTGTTGCAGGGTGAAGTGGCCCTCTGTGATGCCACTGTAGATTGGTTATTGCTAGGTGAAGTGGCCCCCTGTGATGTCACTAGGTATTCGCTGTTGCTGGGTGAAATGGCCCCTGTGATGGCACTGGGGGTTGGCTGTTGCTAGGTGAAGTGTTCCCCTGTGATTCCACTGCAGATTGGTTGTTGTTAGGTGAAGTGGCCCTCTATGATGTCACTGGGTTGGCTGTTGCTCGGTAAAGTGGCCCTCTGTGATGTTGCTGTTGGCTGTTGCTGGGTGAAGTGGCCCCTGTGATGCCACTTCAGATTGGTTGTTGCTGGGTGAAGTGGCCCCTGTGATGCCACAACAGATTGGTTGTTGCTAGATGAAGTGGCCCTTTGTGATGTTGCTGGGTTGGCTGTTGCTGGGTGAAGTGGCCCCCTGTGATGCCACTGCAGATTGGTTGTTGCTAGACGAAGTGGCCCTCTGTGATGTTGCTGGGTTGGGTGTTGCTGGGTGAAGTGGCCCCCTGTGATGCCACTGCAGATTGGTTGTTGCTGGGTGAAGTGGCCCCTGTGATGCCACAACAGATTGGTTGTTGCTAGATGAAGTGGCCCTTTGTGATGTTGCTGGGTTGGCTGTTGCTGGGTGAAGTGGCCCCCTGTGATGCCACTGCAGATTGGTTGTTGCTAGACGAAGTGGCCCTCTGTGATGTTGCTGGGTTGGGTGTTGCTGGGTGAAGTGGCCCCCTGTGATGCCACTGCAGATTGGTTGTTGCTGGGTGAAGTGGTCCCCTGTGATGCCACAACAGATTGGTTGTTGCTAGACGAAGTGGCTTTCTGTGATGTTGCTGGGTTGGCTGTTGCTGGGTGAAGTGGCCCCCTGTGATGCCTCTGCAGATTGGTTGTTGCTGGGTGAAGTGGCCCTCTGTGACATCGCTGGGCTGGCTGTTGCTGGGTGAAGTGGCCCCTGTGATGCCACTAGCCTTGGCTGTTACTAGGTGAAGTGCCCCCCCTGTGATGCCAGTGGGGATTGGTTGTTGCTAGGTGAAGTGGCCCTCTGTGATGTTACTGGGTTGGCTGTTGCTGGGTGAAGTGGCCCCCTGTGATGCCACTGCAGATTGGTTGTTGCTGGGTGAAGTGGCCCCTGTGATGCCACAACAGATTGGTTGTTGCTAGACGAAGTGGCCCTCTGTGATGTTGCTGGGTTGGCTGTTGCTTGGTGAAGTGGCCCCCTGTGATGCCACTGCAGATTGGTTGTTGCTAGACGAAGTGGCCCTCTGTGATGTTGCTGGGTTGGTTGTTGCTAGACGACGTGGCCATTTGTGGCATCGCTGGGTTGGGTGTTGCTGGGTGAAGTGGCCCCCTGTGATGCCACTTCAGATTGGTTGTTGCTAGGTGAAGTGGCCCTCTGTGATGTTGCTGTTGGCTGTTGCTGGGTGAAGTGGCCCCTGTGATGCCACAGCAGATTAGTTGTTGCTAGACAAAGTGGCCCTCTGTGATGTTGCTGGGTTGACTGTTGCTGGGTGAAGTGGCCCCCTGTGATGCCACTGCAGATTGGTTGTTGCTAGACGACGTGGCCATTTGTGGCATCGCTGGGTTGGGTGTTGCTGGGTGAAGTGGCCCCTGTGATGCCACAACAGATTGGTTGTTGCTAGATGAAGTGGCCCTTTGTGATGTTGCTGGGTTGGGTGTTGCTGGGTGAAGTGGCCCCCTGTGATGCCACTGCAGATTGGTTGTTGCTAGACAAAGTTGCCCTCTGTGATATTGCTGGGTTGGCTGTTGCTGGGTGAAGTGGACCCCTGTGATGCCACTACAGATTGGTTGTTGCTAGGTGAAGTGGCCCTCTGTGACATTGCTGGGTTGGCTGTTGCTGGGTGACGTGGCCCCTGTGATGCCACTAGCATTGGCTGTTACTAGGTGACATGCCCCCCTGTGATGCCAGTGGGGATTGGTTGTTGCTAGGTGAAGTGGCCCTCTGTGATGTCACTGTCTTTTTAAAAAAACATTCAAATGATTTGGTTGGCTATTTTTTGCTCTCACTGTTTCATGACTTCTCCAGTTGTTTCTCCTTGATTCTTTAAACAAGGCGAGTAAGAAATAATAATAATAATAATAATAATAATAATAATAATAATGGAACAAAAATAGGCCTTTACCTATGTAAACCGAGGCTTCTGGGAGCCAAATTTGGTGATCCAATTCTCTGCCTTATAGGTGAAGTGGCCCTCTGTGATTCTCTGCCTCTTCCTCTCTCTAAGCCTGAGACAAGGCTATGCAAATAGACAAAACATAGCTTTCAAGGGATGTTTTTGGACCATAGCTTCCCATAATCAATATGGAAGAATAGGAGGAGAGGCAATGCAATCCTTGCACATTGATGATGCTGCTGGTGGTGGCAAACTTTCCTCGCTTCCCATCCTTCTCTGAGCATCCCTGTCCCTTTAAAGGTAGGCATGCCAGTAAATACAACACGGAAGAGCACAAGCCACAAGGCTATAAATATGTGCAGAGATGATGTGCTGGCATCGCCAGGCTGGGATCAGGAGCCCTTTGGAAGAGCGAACATGTCATTTCAAGGAACGGGCTGGAAAGAAGAGCCTGGCAACGGGCCTGAATTGCTGATTTCCTAGCCAATTCCTGGGAGCAGATCGCCCATGTTCAGAACATAGCAAATGAAAGGATGCGCCAGTCTCCTTTGTTGACATTCTGAGATTGCAAATAGCTTTGAAATAAATCTGCAAATGTTAAAATCCCTCCACGTTTTGTCTTGGGTCTCTGGCACAGTTGAGCTTGCAATTCAATGCCATAACGCTATTGGAAATGGTTGATCTGGATCCCACCCAAAGCAGTGTTTTAGAAAGAGTTGTAGGTCCCAAGTTGAGAATACAGTATTCCCTCGCTTTTCGCGGACTCGCTGTTTCGCAGTTTAAAAATCACATTTTAATAATCACAAAACGTATACAAATATATTTGAAAAGTATTAATTCTAACACTAAAATCCATCTATCTATGTATATAATAAAAGTCAGTGTTTGTATGCGGAGGACGGGAGGTGTATGTGGCAGCGTTCTGATTGGCTGCCACTGTGGTACAATTTGCATATGGTCTCTGATAGGCCACCAGAACATTCCAAGCTAGCAGAGGGAAAAGGAAAGGGGCCTGAGGCTGTCAGAAATGTTTGGAGTTGAAGTCCAAAACACATTGTGCCCCCATCAGTGACAAAACAAGACCAAACCTGGCACACAGAAACCCCCCCCCCCCACAAGACCCACTCAACATCCTGGTGCAGTTTGAGGGAGGATGGACCATGGATGATGGGACTTGCAGTACTTTAACTCACTTCCTTAGAGCACTGTGGCCCACACCAAGGGCGGATCAGGACCAAACTTGGCACACAGAGGCCCAATGGCCCACTTTACAACCTGGTGCGGTTTAGGGCAGGATGGGCCATGAATGATGGGATTTGTAGTACCTTCACCCAATTCACTTCCCACAGAACATTGTAGCTCCTACAAATCACAGACCAGGTCCAAACTTGGCGCACAGAGTACTCATGACCCACTCTACATCCTGATGCAGTTCTAAGGGGGGGGGGGKGGACCATGAATGATGGGACTTGCAGTACCTTTACTCACTTACTGAGACCACTGCAACCCTCATCCAATGACTGATCAAGACCAAACTTGGCACACAGAGCCCCCGTGACCCACTCTACATCCTGCTGCACCTTGGAGGAGGGTGTACCATGGATGATGGGACCTCAAGTACCTTCACTCACTTCCTGAAAACAATGCAACCATCATCCAATGACCAATAAAGACCAAACTTGGCATACAGAACCTCAATTACCCACTTTCTCTAATAACCCAGGCAGCGCCGGGTCCCCAAGCTAGTAATATTATAAATCATAAAAAATTACAATTTACAGTACATAGCGTATTTACTCAGTGGATGAATACACACCAAAAACGAAAGTAGAACTTGTGCAGTGGCCACTAGAGACGTTACTTGCCAACGTGAGATTTGTAAATAACTACTCACAAGCAAGCTTGCTTTGAAATGGATATATTGCTGGTATCTTTGCAGCAAAGAAAGACACTGCTGACTTTTTTCTCACCACCACTTCCTTTTGTACATAGAATGACAAGACAATGGGACCAGACAATGTTTTTAACAAGGAGATAATAATGATTTATGTTTTATTGATTTTGGTATGGTTTTTATTATATGTTAATGTTTTTAAATTGCATTTATGGTATTGTAGGCATTGAATTTTGCCCAGTATACCGCCTTGAGTTGCCTGCAGTCTGAGAAAGGCGGTATACAAATACAAAATTATATATATACAAATAAATAATAATAATAATAAATGATTCCGGCCATGAACGTCTTCGACAACACAATGTGATTATTGTTTTTGTTGTGTTTTTGTGTCCGGATGTGAAAACTAAATGGCTCAAACTCGTCTTGAAGCAGGCTAGACAACCTGGTGCTCTCCAGGTGATTTTGACTCCCAGGTCCCATTATCCTGCCTACAAGCAGTGTCACCTGGGGATGGTGGGAGCTGTAGTCCAACCTATTGGGAGGGCACTGGATGTCCGATTGCCACTTTTGAGGGGCTGGATCCATAGAATTGTAGAGCTGGAAGAGACCACAAGGACCACCCAGTCCTATTAGACCAGGCATGGGCAAACTTCAGCCCTCCCTCCATACTGGCTGTCCAGAATTGTGGGAGTTGCTGTCCAAAACACCTGGAGGGCCCACTTCAACCCCCTTCTGCCAAGCAGGAGGACTCAATCAATGCCCTCCTGACAGCTGGCCATCTAGCTTCTGCTTAAAGCCCTCCAGAGTAGGAGACTCTGCTCACCCTTGCCTTGTGGGTTGACAGGTGCGCCACTGACCACAACGTGGACAACACGACCGAGATCCTGCGCGAATGGCTAACTGCGATGGAAAGCCACTACCGGTACATCGAGTGGAAAGCTGTAGAGGAGCCGAGGTAACGCTTTCCAAGACTTGTAGTGCCAGCTTTCTTTGTTTTCTGAATAACCCATGAAAACATTACGTCTCCTGTGAATTTTCTCCACAACTTTCTTATGTAATCTATCCGACTGCCTCAAACTATTTTTGGCTCAGATTTGTAAACAAAGACTTTTGTTGATCTCCATAGCTGCAGGTGGGTTCCCATTCACGGGAAACGGAATGATTTAATGGGTATCTATTAAACAACAAATTGTTTACCTTAAGGTCAGTTCAGGCAACACTGTGTTAGAGTGAGTTCTCTTGTTCCTGGTTTGATTTTGGATTCAATATATCCTGGAAGTTTTCTATGTTCCTGTTCATATATTCCTGTTCAAGTTTTACTAGTTATACCTTTCTGATTGTGGATTTATGTTGTATCTGTGATTCCTGACTGTTCCTGGACTTTGCTACTTTATGAGACATTTGGATTATAATCACCTTTTGCTAAACCTTTTTGGATCGTATAGCTTCCTTTTGTATTCCTGGTTTTTTTTAAATGTGTGTGTGTGTGTGTGTATATTACAATAAACTGCTTATATTCCTGGACTCTTATGTGGTGCAGTGGCCATAGATGTTTCCAGGCCTGGAGTGCAGCAAAGTGAATCTGCTGTGCCCTTTCTCCGCTGAGCAAATGGGGTCTTTGGACCATAATATTTGATTTGAAACCTCCCTTCCCTCTCCTCCAGCTCATATGCCAACGAAACAGGACCTAAGCACTGGACGAAGGAGCGCTTTGAACATGTCATGAGGCTGAAACAGGAAGCCCTGGACTTTGCCCGGGATGAACGGGCCGATTACATTTTGGTAAGGCGGCCTGGTCCTTGGGAGCCATTGCGGAGAGGGCGGACTTGGCTTACTCAATGTTCCTCCTGAATTTCGGCCCCTGTTGCGTGCAGAGGCTTTTCCCTTGCATTAATATCTGTATTTCCTTGAGTCTCATGCGCCATCGCCCATTGCACTTGCTGCCTGCTTAGAAACCCTTCTTTAACAGCAAACCTCCAGCAACAGAAAAGAAAACCTTGGGTTCATCTCTGCTGCAGAATGGATCCACTTTCACCACCTTGGTCCAAGGTTGGTCAGTTATTTATGTGGCTCGCAGTGCTCTCAGGAAGTTAGTGAAGGTACTGCGAGTCCCATTGTCCATGGTCCATCCTTCTCCAAACTGCATCAGGATGTAGAGTGGGTCATGGGGGCTCTGTGTGCCAAGTTTGGTCTTGATCAGTCATTGGATGACGGTCGCAACAATCTCGGGAAGTGAGTGGAGATACTTCAAGTCCCATCATCCATGATCCGCCTTCCTCTAAACTGCAGTAGGATGTAAAGTGGGTCATGGGGGCTCTGTGTGCCAAGTTTGGTCTTTATCTGTCTTTGTTGGGGGCTGAAGTGGTCTGTGGGAACTAAAGGGTTGGAAAGTACTACAGATCCCATCATCCATTGTCCGTCCTCCCCCAAAGCTCACCAGAACGTAAAGGGGGTCATGCGGGTTATGTGTGCCAAGTTTGGTCCCGGTCCATCACCTGTGCTGGTCACAGTGGCCTGTGAAAGTGGCAGCCAATCAGAAAGCTGCCACATACACCACCCTCCCTCCGCATACAAACACTGACTTTTATTATATACATAGATTTTCAAAAACCCACGAAACAGTGAATCTGCGTAAAACGAACCGCAAAGTCGCGAGGGAACGCTATTTCTTTTGGAAGAATGTGGCGGAACTTGCTCAAATCTCACAGAAACTGAACTGTAAGTTTGGTGTTTCAAACCTGCCTTTAGTTCACTGACACCGACAGTATCCTGACCAACAACCAGACGCTGAAGTTCCTCATGGCGCAGAACAGATCCATTGTGGCCCCCATGTTGGAATCCCAAACGTACTACTCGAACTTCTGGTGCGGGATCACTCCACAGGTGAGAATAGAATAGGCAAAGGTAAAGGTTTCCCCCTGAAATTACCGTATATTCCGGCATATAAGACGACTGGGTGTATAAGACGACCCCCAACTTTTCCAGTTAAAATATAGAGTTAAGACGACTCCCATGCATAAGACTACAGCCGCGTATAAGACGACCCCTGACTTTTGAGAAGATTTTCTTGGGTTAAAAAGTAGTCTTATACGCCAGAATATACTGTAATTCCAGTTGTGTCCAACTCTGGGGGGTAGTGCTCAACTCCATTTCCAAGCCAAAGAGCTGGCGCTGTCAATAATAACAACAACAACAACAACAACAATAATCTATATAAATAAAAATGTAATGTTCGTTTGTGGGATTAACATAACTCAACAACCACTGGACGAATTGACACCAAATTTGGATGCAATACACCTATTAGGCCAACGAGTGACCATCACTCATAAAAACATTGAAAAACACAGCAGAAGAGACTTAAAAATCCAAAAAATAAAGTATACACATGCACAAAACCACATATATATATATATATATATATACACGCAAACACACATATACAAAAATATATACACACACAAAGCACATATACATAGACTGGGCCACAGCAACACGTGGCAGGGGATGGCTAGTAGTAGTAGTAGTAGTAATAATAATAATAATAATAATAATAATAGTAATAATCTTTATTTATACCTCACCACCATCTCCCCAAAGGGGACTCGGGGCGGCTAACATGAGGCCAGGCCCAAAATAATACAACATATTTCGACGGCAGCAAGGATATCCTATGCAAGAATTTGGAAAATGGACAAAACTCCGGAGGTAGATAGTCAAGCTACAGGAGATTAAGGACATGGACAAATTAACCTATTTTTTGGGGGGAAAAACCACAGGAAAACCAATAAAAGATACGAATTGGTCACCATTTGAAAATTACTTAAAGGAAAGATCTAAATAATATGAGAAGAGAAAACTTAGACTGAAAATTTTGTAAGCGAAGACACAGAAGGGAAGTCAACATTTTTTTTTTATTTTTTTATTTTTTCTTTTTGGACTTTTTTTCTCTCAATTTTGTAATATTTTTTTCTTTTTTTATATATATATTTCTTTTCTATATAGATTCTTAAAATTGCCTACTATCCTATATCTAAATGTTCTCCCATTTTCCTTGTAAACCTTTCTTTTTTATGTAGATGCATAACTTAATAAAATTATTGGAAAAAAATAATACAACATAATAAACACACAATAACAAAATACATCATAACAAAATGTGAAATAACAAATAAAATCAACAATATATAACAGCATAATAAAATCAGACACAGAGGGCGGGCCAAATGTATGAGGTAAAATGTTAAAAAGTTAAAACACCTCCAAGGTCATGTGGTTGGCATGGCGGCATGGAGCACCGTTACCTTCCCGCCTACTCACATTTCCTTGTTTTCAAACTGCTGGGTTGGCAGAAGCTGGGGCTAACAGCGGGAGCTCACTCCCCGGATTCGAACCGCCTACTTTTTGGTCATCAAATTCAGCAACCTACTGTGCAACCAAGGCGTCTATAGAATCGTAGAAAATTGCACAACGAAATTATATACCTTCGCCAGCACACACCACAAAACAACACACCCATCCCTCCTCACTCTCACCACCACCACCACATGGCCCCCAATGCCACATCAAAGCGAAGCCATAGAGTTTTACATAGCCACAGCTCTAGGAGAAAAGCTACCTTTCAGTCTGTTTGTCCTTGTCTTTGTCACCCTGTACAGTCTGCCAGGGTGTTTCCTGCGCTTATCATGGAGGTTCCGTTCCAGGACCACCAGTGATAAGTAAAAATCCGTGAAGTACGGACGCCATATTAATTTTAATATTTATACATTATTTTATATATATTATATATTATTTTCTTACCTGTGCTTCCTTACCCGCCTCCCGGCCCATCACAAGGGCGCCTGCCTGCCTCCCTGGCCTCCGCGGACCCTGGCAGAGCCTTCGGAGCCATGCAGGCAGCAGCAGGCCAGGGAGGCAGGCCTTCCCTGCCGCACCAAAGGCCGCTGCACTTCTGGAGTCCCTGGCTGTAAATATTTTATATATTTTAATTTTTATTAATATTTTCAAAAACCCGCAAAACAGCAAGTCCTATGTAGTGAATTTTATGATCTATGTTGTATTTTTGGTGTGTAGCTCCAGGTTACAATATGGTCGATAGGGAAGAATTGGCTCAAATAGGGTAGCAACGGTGAAGGCAAGATTAATTTGCATTTGTGAAGCCGATTGGTCATATGCAGATGAGAGTACGCCAGGATTTGAAAAGGCCGCTGAGCCAGAATGGCAGTTACAGACCTGAACATTCTAAAGGGGCGGAGTCAAGTTTGAAAGAAGCAGTTAGAGTTTGTCAATTGAAAAAAGAGAGAAGTAGGAAAAGTTAGAAACCTCGGTTAGAGAGAAGCAGTCGGGAAAATAGAGCTCAAGGTTTAAAGAAAAATAAGAAGGCGCCAGTGTGGCATAAGTCAGAAAATAGTTCAGCCAAGGGTATATGAAGAAAGTAACATATTTGTTGATGTGAGATAGTGAGGGTTTCATAAGAAAAGTTAACTGAGTGAATGATACTGAATGTAAGACTCGAGACTGTAACAAAACACAAATGTAACCATAAAGCATTGGAACCAGAAGCTATAAATAAACTTTGTTACTTTGTTGCTTACCGGAGTGTCTCAAGCATGTGATATAAAGTACAAAGGTTTAACAGCTCACAAGAAAGCCCCAGCCAATATAAACGGGAAACTGCAGCAGTACAAGGCGGTAAAGGGATTTAGAAAGGAAATTATTTTTCCCCTCACTGAGTCAAGAAGAAAGGCACTTGTAACAGGACAGAAACAGAGTACGTCCCAGGTATTAAAGTGGCGACAGAAAACTACATATGTGGTGTGGCATTACGTATTCAGTTATGTGCAATGTTACACCCCACACCGCTAAAAGCAAACCACAAAGTAGCGTGGGAACACCGTAATTCCAAAAAATATGTCGGGTGAGATGGATCCCCAATCATGCTCTGAGCTTTCTTAAGCCTGCGAGACCTATCAAGGTCTTCCAAAGAGGACTTTTCCTGAGTGCCTTTCCTTTGCCTCCCAGGGCTACTACCGCCGGACGGCTGACTATTTCCCCACCAAGAACCGGCAGCGCATTGGCTGCTTCCCGGTCCCCATGGTCTACGCCGCTTTCCTGATCGACCTCCAGAAGGATGATACCGCTGCTCTGGCCTTCCATCCTCCCCACCCCAGATACACTTGGCCTTTGGACGACATCATGGTTTTTGCCTTCTCCGTTCGAGCTGCAGGTGAGGACAAAAGGGGGGAAGACCGGCCGCCCCTGCGTTATAAACATCAGACTTACAAACAACTCACAGTTAAGAACGGGGCTGAAATAACAGGAAGGGAAAACCGCTCAAATGAGGTGCATTGCATTGAACGGTCAGAGGTTTGGGAGCCAAGCCCTAGGGAAGACATGGG